CTGAAGGGTTCCCTGCTGGGCCTGCAGCCTGGGTCAAAAGAGGATCCCTGGGCCCGGGACTTCTCACTCACTCGCCGGGCCTGCGCTCTGTGTCTGTCAGGATCCCACAGCCTGGGTCGTCTCACTCACTCGCCGGGCCTGCGCTCCGGGTCTGTTCAGGATCCCGCAGCCTGGGTCGTCTCCCCAGCTTTCATTTCATTTTAAAATAAATCACTAAGACACCACACCAACTCACTTCTGCTTCTAGCTTTAATCATCTTTGGTCCTGCCTGCATCGGACCAAGTTTATATATGATGGAAGAGGACTGAATGGCATCAAGGGAGATGGTCAGGCAGGAGAAAAATGAACATGGATAAAAAATGGGATTGAACATTAAAACTGAGGCTATATGCTGTCTTCTAGTGGTGCAGACTTTGGAAAGCTGCTGCCAGATAGGGAGCCCCATAATACCCCTTCATCTCCCTCCTCCTACCATGTACAAATATCTCAAAGGCATGAGTGTCCTGTGTCCTTTCTGTTACTGTACCACCACAAAAATGTCTCAGGGCCAGGGCCATTTCTAGCTGGGTTTCTGTGGAAAATGGAACCAGGCTGAAAGTGTGACCTTCCTACTTAATGCTCAAGGGAAGTGTTAACACTTTTGCACTAGGCCATGCTCCCATATTCCACACCCCAGAATGATGAGATCTGAAGGAGAGATTGGCAGGTAGCCTTTGGTAAATGAGACGAATGACTAGAAGGTGTCATAGGAGCGTCCTGTCCTGAGGCCAGAGCTTTACGCCTTCTGTGAAGAAAAGAGAAACAGGAAAAAGACAATGATGGATATAAGGCCTCTCTTGCTTCCTTGCTGTTTGACCCGGAGCATGTTACTTAGCCCCTGTGAAATGTAGTTTAATTCCCAGGACTTGAGAGGTGATTGTGCAAGCTTAAAAGAGTTTTTGTGGGAGTTAAATGAGTAGCAAATGTGTACGCCTCACATTGAGATCACCATAAACTAAGGCTTGGTAGATGTCACTTCCTTCCCTATTCCTTTCTCTTGAAAAAGGCAAAGGGACATATCTTCATGTCTTAATGATGTTTCCATGGCTTTCTTTTCTGGACTTTGTTGACTTGCAGAAAGTCCGAAACATGGCCCTGGATGATGTTGTGATTCTGAACGTGGACACCAACACCCTGGAAACTCCCTTTGATGACCTCCAAAGCCTCCCAAATGATGTGGTAAGTACTGAGCTCTTGAGGTGCTGGTTTCTGCATGTTTATGTCATGGAAACAACATGACTTTGGGCGTGAAAGAGGGAGACAGCTGTGGTTTTCCTGTGGCCCAAGATCTGTGGTATGTTTCTCTTCGTGTTAGAAGGTCTTGGTGTAGAAAGTTATAATGTAATTTATTTTTCAAGTCTTATTTTTCTCTGATAACTTTAATCTGGAAGCTGTGAGGTGGTCCCTGAGTCTAGGGACCCTGCATGGAGCTTGGGTCACCACCCCATCCCAGGTCATTGTTCTCTCTGGAGAATGTTACAGCATCCCCAGAGTGACACTCAAAATCAGGTTGGTAGGGTTTTCAAGCTAAGAATGGTGGAGTACTTGAAACCAACATTTGTTGCTGGACCATCAAGATCCACTAAGTTCTTGTGGCTTCCAGAATGCAAGAAACCTATGTTGGTTTTGGCCATGTGGTACTGATAGGGGGCCCGGGTGGGGTCTGTCAGGGAGAGTGTTTAACGTGGTGAGCAACAGTGCTGTTACTGCCAGAAGCCCAAGCAGTACTGTACTATTCTGAAGAGATTCCTGTTTGTTGATAAATGGCTTGCAACAAGGTCTCCAACTTCTTTCTTCTTGGCATGCTATGAGGTTTGAGCAGTTCATTTGGGGTACTATAAAGCTGTTATCGTTTTAATGTCATTAAACAATTACTACCATTGTTGACTAGTCACTTCTCTGTCACTGAGGTACAACAACCAGCATTTACAATTTATTGGTGTTTTTTTTTTTTTTTTTTTTTAGAGAAGGGTCTACAGGGTGTTCAGGGTCTTACAACTAGATCAGACTCATAGTGATCTGCCTGTTTACAGCCTCTCAAGAGCTGGGATTACAGGCGTGCCCACCACACCCAGTCTCAGTTGTCTCAGTGTGCCCCAGGGGCAGGGCCGGCACAGCAGGCCCTGGGGATCAAATCCAGGCCCCTCCACCTGCTTGCAGGCACTTTAATCCACTGAGTTATTTGGCCGGCCCAATATCCACAATTTAAAGGATGAGAGATTTATTTTGGCTGGCCCCAAAGCCTGGGGGAGAAAAGCTGCTCACATCATGATGTCCAGGAAGCAGAGAGGGAGGAGCAGAGGTGGAGCTTTCCTTCCAGGTCACATTCCCCTTTGGCCCGCCCCTTCTAACCAGACCCCACCTCCTAACAGACATTCAGCTCTTAAATTTTCATTGATTGATTCACAGGTGAGTATAGCACCCCCATGATCTGATCCAGTCATCTTTCCAAAGCCCGGCCTCTGAACACATGAAGCTTTTTGTTGACATTCCAGATCTCAAGCATTACATAGACTTTGGAGCATTAGGGAATGAGCCAAACCCTTGTCCATGACCTCTCATTTAGTCTTCATGCCACTCTGAGGTCTCTTCCCCACTCCCATTGTGCCCACAGAGCTGAAGGGAGCTGGTGATGACTGTTGGCCACACGGAGTCCTGGCCTCACCACCTGCCAGGTGCCTCCTGCACCCGGGTGTCCATTGATGAGCATTGTTGCCCTGTAGAGCCAGCATTCTGTCCTTTTTACAGGGAGAAAAAGACTCAGAAAGCACATGCCTTGCCACAGAATAGTGCTGAGATTAGACTGGGATGTCTGCCTGGCACTAAAGCCTGCACTGCCTCTACCCTCTGTACACTGCCTCCCTCAGGCATGAGACAACAGAGAACTCAGGAAAAATCAGAGTGCCATACGGAGATGAGGGCAGTGAATCAGATGCAGGCACATGGTCAGCACCTCAGGCCCCTGCCACAATTTGTGAGGTTTCTCTCCTGTTCCCTTTGCCTAGAAAAGTTCTCTGCAAGCCACAGGTATCACTGGTAGGGACTTTGCAACTGCCCGTGTATGTGGGACATGAACCTGAGGTACCTCGGGTCCAGAGAATGACTGAGGGCCTAGGGGCAGCTCAGGGTACGCGATGGCAGCTCAGAAGCGAGCATGGAGTGCGGTGCTCTGACTCTGTACTGGTAGTGAGCAGCAAAGAAGAGGAAGGTATTCACAGAGGCCAGTCCAGGAGGGAAAACAGACAAGCAAATTGCACGTATCTCACAGCACAGCAGAGTAGGGACTGCAGAAGAATAAGGGTCATGCATAGGAGAGCTCAGGAGAGAGTAATAGAGCCGAGGCAGATAGTGGTGACCTCTAGAAGATGGTAAGTCCAAGATGATGCCGCCGCTGCCTTCTTCTTCTTCTTCTTCTTCTTCTTCTTCTTCTTCTTCTTCTTCTTCTTCTTCTTCTTCTTCTTCTTCTTCTTCTTCCTCCTCCTCCTCC